CAGGTCCTTCAGACCAACCTTTATAGCAGGTTGGAGCTAACAAAAAAGGATAAACAGAGAGAGTAACATGACTCCATATAATCTCGTTTACAAGATGTGACTTGATCTCAAGGGCCCAGGGCTTGCCTTATTCTGGTGTGGAGGCTGCCCTGTATGGTCAGAATCATCACAGCAGCCCCAGCCTCAGGGCAGAAAGCTGGACAATTGCCCTCTTGAAAGTTCAGAAGGGCCCACTAAAAGAATGAAGCTGAGAAGGAGATGAGAGTTCCCTTTCTCCCTGGTGCCACCATCTGAATTCAGTTTTCTGTCTGAGAAGCTGCTTCTTCCCAGGAAGACTGAAATAATTGCTCCTTTTTGTCAGAAAAAGGACCTTGGATTCAAGTACGATTTTGCTGATCGTTAAGGCTGCACATGGGAAGGAAGGAGAAGGGCACACATCAGCGCACTTCAGTGCTTGACTGGTCTTGCTAGAAGTGCAGTACACATCCACAAAAGACAATGGTTTGCCTGGCCAGTGTGGCTCAGCTGGTTGGGCGTTGTCGTGGGTTTGACTCCCAGTTGGGGCACATGCCTGCTTGGGCTCGTCCTCAGCCCGCTTACACAGGGAAGGCAACTGGTCTACACTTCTGTCTCGCATGGATGTTTCTCCCCCTCTTTTTCTCTCTCCCATCCCTTCTCTAAAATCAAAAATAAAAATTGAAACATGTTTAAAAAGACAATGTTTTTTCTTTAGATATGTTCAATCAAGAGGCAAAATGTCATAATGTTGTGAGGTACTCCTTGAATCATGACAGAGCCATAGGTGAGCCATCCAAGGGTTGTTTGTAAAATGCTGAGGATCTGCTTTTCAAAGAGGTCCATTAGTTGAACAGGGAGAGAAAAAATACAAGGGTCTGCAGCTTTCTGAGACTTTTTCTCTACCTGGAAGTCTACGTGACGTAGCTCAGCCTATTTTGATGCTGATTTCCTTTTCACTCTCTTCCAGAAACCTCACGCACATGCATCAGGAATTGGCCTTACCCTACGGATTTAATCATACCCGAACGTAGCAGGACACGACAAAACATGGGGGTCAGTGTGATGTGCTGATAGATTTCCCTAATGCTGTCTGTCTGGTCTGTGGTCCTGGAGGCTGTGGGCTACCACCCTGTGTTCCTTATCACTGGGACAACTTCATAAACTGTGGCCCGCTGGTCCTTCAAGGAGAGGCATTTTAGAGACGTGGTGTGTTCTGTTTGCTGCATTGGTAGCAGGGCCGCTACTTGGAGGCAGAGGGGATCAGATCCCTGGCTCTAGGTCGGGCAGTTCTGTCCCACACTTCAGGTGACACTGTACACCCCGCCAGCTGTTCATGTAAGTAGAAAATCCCTTTCTGTTGGCCTAGCCTAGAACCTAATTCCATTTTGTGTGTAATACAGAACACCTTTTGCACAGTTTTAATATACACTGACATTTTCATGAATGCTATCATCATCATCATATAAATCAAGAGAAGACTACATGTTATCCTTACCAGGAATTGCTCACCATTTCAGAAACCACAATAACAATAGCAAAATGCTCATGGTATTTGAGTTGCCAAATATCATGCCTCTATTCATCTGCATTTGGACATATCTCTGTGAATACGTAGTATTTATTTAGTCTTGCTTCAGGACATCAAATATTAAGAAGTACCCATAATGTTCCAGTCAATATTATTTTACTTCCCTTAAATTCAAACTTATTCATTATAAGTAGGTACAGTTGTTTTATATTTTCTAATGTAGTTATGTTCAAACATTTATAGATTAAAATGCATACTATTTTACTCTAAATTATTTCCTTTTGGTTCTTTATTCTGGAGTTAGGGCAATATCTTGATTCTTTAAAACACTTATGTGTAATAAGCAAGTTACATTTGTACAGTGTTCATTTCAGAGTAGTGCAGGTGGCCTTACGAAACATTTGCTATGAAAGGGGAGCACTGGGCCTGGCAGGGTTGGGATCTCTTGCTCTGGGCAACCTCCTAGAGGACGTTTTGTTTCATCTAATTTTCATGGTAGCTCCACGACCTAGGTCCTGTTATGACCTGGCTTTGCACTGGAGGAAACTGAGTCACAGAGATATGAGGTGGCTTGCCTAAGGCCACATGTCTGGAAAAGGGGGAGCCAGGATTCTACAGTCTTCTCACTGCATTCTGCCTTCTGCCTGCCCCGCCTGCGCCGTCTCACATGACTGCCCAGGTTACCCGGGGCCTTTCTTCCTGGAAGCTCATCCCCTGGCCCTGCCCGGCCTCTTAACAGGGATCAGTGGGGTCTCTCAGGGGAATAAAAATGGCTTTTCTTTTTGGATAGAATTTCAGTTGAGTGAATCAGAGATGTGCTTTGCATGGAGCAGACAGACCCCCAGTAAACTTTGTTGGTTGGATGAACGAATGAACGATTTGGTGGTGTTTGGGGAGAGTGGTGCTGCATCCTTTGGAGCGGCCGGTGGACCCACAGTCATTGGTGTTAGTACCTGATGTAGGTGTCTCAGGGGTTGACAGCAGGCTCACAGGACTCCCAGCGCTGGGATGGACACTGCCGTTGTGTGCCTGGGCCTGAGGGAGGCTGGCCACTGTTTTTTCCCAGGAAGCACAGCTGTTGAAACAGGAACCGGCACATCTCCCTCACTCTTGCCTCATGCTCATCGGCATGCGGCCCGGGTCCCGGAGGTGGGGGTGCTCTCTAAGTACCAGCCTTTCTTTGTCCAGTCTGTGATCTAATGGACTCTGGCCCAGGGGACATCAGCTCTACAGTGGGCAGCTGGCAAAGGGCAACATTGTGTTTCCTACAGGTCTTTGGCAGTGTCTCACTCTGAGTTACTGCATCTTCTCTCATTCAGCAAACGTTTTCTGAGTCCTTGCTTTGTGCCAGATACTGGGGTGCGGGGATGAGCAACAATATACAGCCCCGCCCTCCGGAGACTCAGATATAGGACAGAAGACTGGCTTTTGCAGTTAAGTGTGGAAAGAGCTCTGACAAAGGAATATACAGAATCTCTGGGAGCCTGAGGGGGCAGTTGCTGATCCAGACTAGGGAGGAGAGGGAAGCCTTCCTGGAGGAGGTGCTGGCTGAGCTTAATCCCAAGGAAAGGCTATGATTTAGCAGAGACAGGGGTGACAGTGTTAGTCAGGGTCCCAACAGGGAGTATGACACACAAGTTGGGATAATTTGAGGAGGGTTTGCACACAAACAGGTTATTTGCAAAGATGAAGGCAGGGTATGGGGAAGCACCCCATGTTGCTACAGAAACCCAAGGCGGCAGCAGCAGCAGAGCTGTCGTCCGTAGGGCAGAGGTGGGAGGGGGTTCTCGTACTCTGGAAGGAGAGCAAGTTTAGCCTTGGCAGAAGGAGTAACCTTACGTCTGGGACCTGCCAGCCTGATACAACCTACAGGGAGTATGTATGTACCCTGGCTGTGTTCTCTCCTACCCTTCCATCTCTACTTGTGCTCCAGATTGGCCAAACCCAACCAGAAGCCACAGGGCACTGGAGTTTGGTTACATGATCCTTACGGGGCAGCCTCTGGGGCAAAGGGCAGGGCAGAGAGGGGCTCTGGAGGGGCAAGCGGATCTACCCGGCACACTGGGTCAGGGAAGGCATTCTCAAGTGGGGAAGAACTGGTTGTGAAGGCCGGGAGGTGTGGGAGAGAGTGGTGAGTTGGGAAAATGCAGTCTTTATGGCTGGAGCTTGGAGGGAGCAGGAGTGAGAGTTAGCCATCATGAAAGGCCTTGACTGTCTTTCTGAGGAATTTGAAAATTTACCTTAAAGGCAAGGGGTGCACTGAAGGATTTTAGGCCAGAGGTGACAAGATCAGCCTTGTGTTTCAAAACGGCCACTCTAGCACTAGTGTGCAAGTGGTCTAGAGGTATCTTTTCAGACCAGAGATGGTGAGGCCTCAATCAAGACAGTGACAGTGGAGACAGAAAGAAATGGATGGATTTGAGAAAGGTTTAGGAAGGAGACTCAAACTGTGATGAAGGGTTGGGAGAATGTGGTGTTGAGGGCCATCCCCTGGGTGTGGCTTGAAGCTCGAGCAAGGGGAGAAGCATGGCGGGAGTGGGTCCAGCTCCCTCCTCCCCAGCGTTGCTTTCTGGGTCCAGGAGAAGACTTAGATTATCACTTATCGGCAGGACCTTAGACTTCACGCTGCAGGGTAGCCTCACCTTGGCTGTTGCCAGAACAAACCAGACTAGAGAGCAGGAGAAGTCACCTTTTGCAGCCACTCTGGGGTCTCCTGGGCCAGGACCTGCCCCCCTCCAAACCCCTGCCCCTTCCCATATGGAGAGAGGGTGTGTTTTCTTTTAAAGCACTTCATTGCAGGGGCAAATGAGGCCCTGCTAAGGGGAGGGAGCCAGCAATGACGGCAGAGTACGGCCCTGCAAGCTGGGGTGAGTGCTGGGGTCCTGTCATCCCCAGTTTCCTTCCCTCGCTTTTCTGAAGGCTCCATCTGTCCCCATAGGCTCATATTTCATCACTAGCAACTCTGAAGAACCTGCTCTCCAGTAACAGGTCCCATTCCTTGGAGTTCTCTGCCCAGAAACCTGGAATAATTTTCTTTTGTTTTAGAGGGAACTGCTGAGGCAGTTCTTTCATGTTCTAAGAAGTTGGGTAGTCATGGCAACACATAAGGGTGGGGTGGGTGAGGTGGGGGGCTTCTTAGCAGCATTTCATTTCAAATGCCAGATTAAAGGAAAAGCTTCTTTGGAGTTTGCCTCATTAAGACATAGCTGGGTGCAGGCTTGCTGGCTGATTTTCTGGTTCATCCTTTTACACATTACATGTTGCCTGTATTTTCTCACCTGATGGACAGTCTTCTGGGACTTCTCCCTGAGAATTTTGGCTCAACAATTAATCCGAGAATTTCAGCTCTTTCTTGGCAAGAGAGGTGGTGGGAGTGTTCTCTTTGTTCCTCGCTGGGGCCTTGTCCCCTAAGTCCCTTTTTTACAATGGGACTGCCACTTACAAAAAAAGGCAACGTATTTATTGAGGTTTTGTTCTGTCTACAGAAGGAAAGATGTTCACTGAGAAACCAATTTGTTCCATGCCACAGTTTTGGTCCAGGATCTTTCTCTCAGAGTTCGACCTGGCCCAGGACCAGGGGACCCCAACCTGGCTGTGGGTCCGGGCTCTGGGACTCTGGGGGAATCCCTTCCCACTGCTGTCTGAGGAAATCTAGGAGAAAATAAAGGTGGAAACGTTTAACCCAGAGACTGAACTCAGGTGCTTTCTTCCTAAACTGAACGGTACATCTTGGCTTGAGGCGACTTCAGAATTCTCTTTCAGCTGGGATGGGACTCCCCACTCCGCCCCAGTCCAAACTCCAGTTCTGACCCACAGAAGATCTGCACAATACAGCAGTCCAGGTGTCAGTGAAACAGTTTCCCACACTCAGTCACCAAGTCTTGTCATTTGTTCCTCCAGAGTATCTTCTCACTTCACCTTAGGTGTGTTCTTATGAACAACAGCCCCCGTGTACTGAACACTTCCGAGAGCCAGAATTTCTATGTGTCACCTAATTTAATAGTCACCAAACCCCCTGTGAGGAAGGTACTATCATGCTCCTCTTACAGAGAAGGGAACCGCAGACCCACAACGCTGATTGGTCCAGGTGAAACAGCTGGTAAGAGGTGGAGCTGGGTCTGTGAGGTGCACCCCATGCTCTTTCCACCACCCCTCCTACTGGGCCACAGCGGGCACTCCAGCACGGAGCCCGCACCACACGCCCTTCCTGCTTTGTTCCAGCCAGCGTGTAACCACTGAATGATCTTCCTAAAGCTTCCTTTCACTGCTCCCCAGTAGGCTCCACTTTGGGGGTGCAGAGACCACAGCTGTCTTGTTCACCATGGTGGCTCTAGGGCTTAGTCCACGGAGAGTGCACAATTAACTTATTTACTTAGTGGATCAATGAAAAGTATCTTTTCCCTCCACCAGCCCTTCCCTCCTTCTCCCTGCTTGGGTGGCTCCCAGCTGGAGCCATTGCTACCCTCCACCGTCAGACAAGACTCACCTGGTCCCTGAGCCAGTCCTGTCCAGGCAGGTGGAATCCTATCAGAGTATGTGAGTGTGTTCCCAGGGCACATGCCTGTGGAGCTGCCAGAGCTCTGGCGGCTCCTGCTTCTGCAGGGAAAAGTATTTCTGTGATAGATCCAAGATCTGTGGTGCAGGGGGTGATTGCTGATCCCCTAAATGCCCCTTGGGTACCATCTGCCTCACCTCCCTCACATTGCAGCCTCATCTACAGAGTAGCAGTGTATCAAGCACCTACTGGGTTGGACACATCACCTATTATCTCATTTAATTGATAAAAACCTCAAAAGCCAGGTATTAGTATCTCAGTTTTATTGATGAGGAAACTGAGGCTTGCTAAAGGACTCACAGATGGGCAGAGGTGGAGGAGGGACCTGAGCAGGAGTTTATCTGTGGTCCAAGCCTTTGTGATTTTTTCCTTCACTGCCCTTTCCCATATGGGCTGGGCTTCTGCCATCAAACCTGTTCATTTTGGGGAACCTGAGACTATCAGGGGCTAATAATCATAGCAAGAACACTTATACCAGAGTCCCCACAAATGACTGCATTTAAGCTTCACCCCGATGGAGAGGAGCTATGATTACCTCCACTTTACAGATGAGGAAACAGAGACAGGAAGTGTCACCTCCAATGCCATCTAGTTACTCGGGTGAGGGAGCTGAGATTCAAAGGAGGCTGGTCTGAGAGCAAAGCTCGCACTCTACTAGTCTTGCAAAAGCCAGCTGACTGGGAGTCACCCTGACAGTCCTCTACTCTTGCTGCACCCCACTTGTAGCTGAGGTCCAGCCACTCAAAACCAGGCTGGTGCTGCCTTCCATCCTCTGGATTTCGGTTGCTCCACCCCACCTACCCGGTGAGCCAACCTTCCAGGTTGGCTTGACCTGAGCCATGTCCTCCTGCCCCTCTGGTTGCTGGGCTTGGCACTGCTGGCCACCCTGACAGCCAAGTGAGTTCCTCCACATCCCACCCTCTGCGCCTTGTCTGTGCGTGGAGCTCCCTTGGTGATTTTTAACACCCACCCCACCTGCCAGCTTGACAGGCTATGATACCCTGCTCTCTTGTCCTTGCGTGGCTTTCTAAGGTAGCCTAATGAGTCTCAGCTCCTCTGCCTGGCTTCCTGGGTGTCATACAACTCCTCTGCTTCTATCCACCAGTGAGAACCTCTTCCCTGTGATCCTGGGACCCCCACATTCTGGAGCCAGTCCCTGTGCTTGGCTGAGCCTGGCTCAGGGCTTTCTGGGCATTGTGGTGATGCCCCTTGCTGGCTCCTGGCTCCCTGCTGATGCCCTCTCCTGCCCTGTTCTGCCATTGGGTATCTGCCCATGTCTATCTGCATTAACCCTTGCCCTTTGTCTCCTCAGGCGCCTGAGTGTCCTGCCTTGAAACACTTGCCCAGTCACCTCTCTCACCCCACTTGGTGGGACATTATCCAGCCTTTCTTTTTCAACATCTCCCAACTTGGACTCTGTTTCACTTAGAGCAGAGCCAACACTCAACTGATAATCTGTGCTGGGGGCCCACGTACAAGACACCGTGTGGGGGCTCTGAGACCTCCCAGCTGCCCCTGCTCCCCAGACCCCCTGCCACACAGGCTTGTGCCTGGTTTTTGCTGTTCTCCTCGACTCTCACTATTGCAGCAGACTGCCGCCCCTGTCCTCACCCCACCAAAGCCTCCTTTGCTCTGAAGCCGACTCTGAGGACTCTCAGCTTGGCTTCCGACTGTCATTGCACACAAAGGAAACGCAAGCTGGGGTAAATGGATGGCTGGCAGCCTAGGAAGAGCCGGCCCAGAGGCCCGGACACCCCAGGCCTGGCCCCAAGGGCTCAAGGGACAGATGAGTCTCTGCACACCTGGCACCCATTCTGTTGAGAAGCTCTCCTCTAAGCCATGGCAATACAAACAGTGATAGCTCCATTTCATCCAATAATTAAAATGTACCAGGCATTTATATACATCTCTGGTCCTCTAAAATAGGTAATCATTATTGCCATTTCGCAGAGGAAGATCAAGGCTCAGAGACACTCTGTAGCTTGCCCAAGGTGTCATGTGATTAACCCTATGCCATCTTCGTTTCCTCTGTATGTACCCATCCTGCAATGACACAGGGAGCTCTTGAAGAGCAGAGCGATTTCTGATTCCTCTGTGCCCTCTCTGTGCCGGCACATGGTGGGTGCTCTGAGCTACCTGTTCTCCAGGTCCTTCTGGGAAGCCCAAGGCTCTTTGAGCCTAGCTCCCACTTCTATCCCAAAGGAGCCGACCACACGTCTTCTCCAAGTAAGTCCAGACCCCCTCTCTGGGGAGGCTTTTTGGGAAATGGAGCAGAGTGGCTACCGAGCAATTTGGTGGCTATGGCCTTGTGGGAGTAGGGTGTTTCCAGGGCAGGGGCTGTAGGAGCCCCTAACTCTCTGTTCCTCCTCCACAGGGCATCTCCATACAATAATGTCCCTGGTCATGGCCTCAGAGTTCGGGTATTGAGAAATCTCAGGTATTGGGAAGTCTCAAGTATCTTCATAAAGATGCTGCTGTCTTGATACCTAGCTCCTCGTGGCAACTCATGGCCATCCTTGAGAGGGGCGGGGACAGAGAGGGTCGGTGAACTGAGTTGGTCCTACTACTGGACTCTTGCCTCCCTTCTCTCTTGCATGTGGACAGTGTTAGGTCAGTGTGACCCTAGGAGTTGCTGAGCTGGCCTGATTCCTCCCTTCACAGATGGCGAAGCCAAGGCCTGAAGAGAGGAAGTGTTACAGGAGGAAGAGGCAGAAACAACCTGACTCCCCATCTGGGGCTCTTCCCGTGGATGGTGTTGCTTCATCAGCACCTCAGCTATGAGGCGTCACCAGCTAGTTCAGGTTTCTGGAGCTCGCTGGCTTTTCTGGGTTGCTTCGTGGTTGGAGGACTTTGTGCCTCACCTCTGGGGAGCAGGTATTGGCAGGTGAGCCCACTAAAGGGCAAAATTTTAAATGTGCCCACGTGGGTTCTCGGTGGCCCTGGAACACCTGACAGTGGCAGGCCGGGCTGCTTGTGCTCACCGTGGCCCACCTTCTCTCTGCTCCCACCGGAAGCCGGGTGCAAGGGCAGTCGCCTCAGTTCTGAGGACTAGAGTGGCGATGGGCCCATGAGTGGCGCAGAGGTCTGTACTCTTCAGCCAGTCAAAGGGCCTGGCTAGTCCTCAGCCTGGCAGGGCCAGTGGGGTTAACTGCCCTCCCCCACCTCCTCATTACCGTTTCTTCCAGAGGAAAGGAGCAAGCTCTCTGCCATCTACATATTTTCAGCTGAGTTATATTTTGCATAAAGTAAACTTAGCAAACAGAGAACACAGTGAGAATATATTTGGCTTTGAAGCGTCAGTGTTCTGACAGGCATTTCCTATTAGCTATCTCTGAGCCGACCAGCCCGGCTAGGTTTTGCTTAAGTGGCATAATTCTCCTGCAGTGGAGACAGCTCATTCATTAGTCATTCCAAAAGCCAAATACAAAATATCCTTCTCTAAGCCAACTCCCCCAACCAGCTCCGCAGCCCGGGTGGAACAATGAAACTTCGGGCTTACTGGGCCTGGCAGAGGTCAGCCCGAGAGCCACCTGTCTGCTGGCTTTGGAGGGTGGCTTTGTCTGGGGCCCTCATTCCCTTTGGAACAGGAAGGACACATCTTCCTTCCTTGGCAGAGCCCCGGGGAGCCTTTTGGAAGGTGGGCGCCACCCCATTTCACTACTGAGTCACTTTCAGTAAACTTGGAGCCCTGACTGAATGCACTTTGTTTTGCTTTGTTTACTTATTTATTTATTTTAGGTCCTAGAAGCCAAAGGCACTCATTCTAAGAGGAAGCAAAGGAATGTGTCCCTTCCTGCTTGGTCCTGTCAGCTGAACTCAGCCCTTCCTTGACTGGCATCCTGTGTGCCGTCTCTTTTAATCCCTGCGCAGTGGGGACTGGTGTCCCCATTTTACAGATGAGGAAGCTGGAGCTTGGAGAGCTGAAGTGATTTGCCAAAGGTCACGCAGCCAGGGATCAAGCCTGTCAGCTCCAAAATTCATCTTCTGTCCTCTCTTTCCGGAAACATCTTTGGGGATAATTATCTTGAGTTTGAAAATGAAAATATACGTGGGGGTGACAGTCTCCTTTACTCAACGTTAGAACAAAGAACGCCAGTGTGTGCCAGGTACCCAGAGCAGGGCGGGCTGAAAAGCCAGCCAGGGAGAAAGCAGGGGAAGGCATGTTGCTCTAAAAGGAGGGTTGAAAACAGCCCAGGGCAGAAGTTGGGAGCTGGGTAGTTCTGATGGGGGTAGAGCTTGGTTTCAGGTGGGTAAGTGCTGGGCCCAGAACAGGGACAGGGAAGGGTCTGTTGTGGTTCCACGGTCCAGCTGGGGCTTCCACACGTGCCCGACTGCATGGGCCGTCTGACAAAGCCCGGCTGAGCAGAATGCCGTGGGGTAAAAACTCCACTGACACCCAGTAATGGGGGGGGACACCAGAGGAGCACCAGGAAAGGCCCTGTGCAGAGGCAGAGCTGAGGTTGTGACCACAGCTGGTGGCTGGTGTCAGACTCCCAGGGGGCCCTCATTAGCACTCCAGGTGGACAAACACATTCGCAGGTGCCCAGGCCAGCGGGGAGTGTGTGTGTAGTGGGGAGGCCAAATCAGAAGCGGAGCCCACGCTCACAAGCTAGCGGTAGCATCTCAGAGTCCTTCCAAAGTAGACATCCGAAACGAAAACTCTGGAGTGGTGCCCTCCTGAGAGGCATCCAGGCCTCCCTCAGGCTGTCCGAACCCCCTCCGCAGTGTCATTTTCCACCTGCTCCTCCATCCCTCCCCGCTCTGTGTCCAACGGTCATTTCCAAACACACAGCACTCTCACTCTACAGCTCGTCCACGTGCTGTTTTCTCCACTCACACTTCCTCTCTCCCACCCAGAGCCCCACCTGGCAAACTCCTACTCACCCTTTAAAACCCTCTTCAATATATCTGGAAGCCTTCTTTGTTTCCCCAGGACACCTTTTCCTGTGTTCCTGACCCTTTGTCTGTAACTCCAGTAAATTGCTGATGCTAGTGCACCATCAGGGACCCTGCCCTATTTTATCTCTGGATTCCCAGGACCCAGGGGATAGCTGTAATGTAAAAAGTGCTCGATCAATTGATAAAGCAATGCAGCCTGAATGGCTGGATCATTGTGCCTTGGATCCGGAAGAGGACATACATTTATCTAAATAAACCACATTTCTGATGCTTGAACCCCTCATCTGCATTCCCAGCCTGATGTAACATACATAAACCACCTACACTACTAACTGGCATATATTAGATGCTCAGTGAACGGCAGCTGACGTTGTTGTTGTTTCTTGGGCACTTGAAATGGACCTAGAAGTGTCCATAGAAAGAACACTGGATCTGGAGTCAGGGCTATGGCTCTGCCTGTAAGGCCCTGTCCGACTTTGGAGAAGTCATTTCAGCCTCTCTAGACCACAGTTTCCTCATCTAGAGTGAGGGTTACAACCAGATGTCTTATCATGAGGCCCCTTTCAGCTCTGATTAAAACAAGGCATCACTGATAGATCTTGGGAATTCCAGCTCCAGTCTTCCTGGTGTGATCTCTGATTAGAAAGCAGTGAACTAATCTTGACCCTCATGGCCCTTCCTGGGGTGTGTGCTCCTCTCCCAGGCAGGCCCAGTCCTCAGGGAGGCAGGAACAACCCCTCGCTAAACTCAGGCCAGTCATACCCACTTTGCCATCCTGGAGAAGGAGGGAGACAGTCTGTCATGGAGCTTGTGGCAAAATCTCTCTTCCTCCCCAAACACCAGCTATGATTAGCTGTGTCCTCACCACAAAACTGCAGGGGTGTGTGCGGGTGAGTCACAGCTGTTCAGATCACATTTATAGAGTGCTTGTAAGGCGGTAGAGGGGTTGCTTATAAGGTGGGGGTGGGGGGGTGCTGTTAGAAGCACCCCAGTTCCTTTTCCCTACCCCCAGGAGTTGTTGAAATTTTAGGACCCTGGTATTTGGGTTACAGAATTTAAGAACCCTCCTCTGATGCCACCCAGCTTCTTGGCGGCCTCTGGTGCTCAGAGCAACTCTCTCCCTGGTCCCTACCGTCCCCAGGACTACTCTGAAGGAACCAAAATATCTCTCTAGAGGAGGACAGTCCCAACCTCACAATCTCCAGGGGCCCCAGCTCCCACCACCTCCGTGCTCTAGGCTCCTTTGTGGCTGCTGACAAGAGGCAGTCCCAGCCCCTCTGACCTGGGCACTCTGTTCCCAAATGTTCCCCTCATGCCCCCTTCCCATCCAGCCACAGAGGACTCTGCACTGCATTCCGGAGCTGGGAAGGAGGTGGAGGCCTCTTCTGTGAAAGAATTCTGGCAGGCGGGCAAGTCCCAACAGGTGGACCCGGGCTGCAGCGAGCAGACAGTGAGTCACCTGGGTCCCTGCTGCTTACTGGACAGAGCCAGAATAATGACAATAATAATAGAGATCCAGGGGGCTGTTATTAACACCCACCTTTCCTCCCAGGATGGTATCTCCTCCATCAATCTGACAACCCTCAGGGTCAGGGAGGAGCTGAATGCAGAGATTTTGTCGCCGTGTCTTAAATCCCGAGGAAACTGAGGCCAAAGTTACTCTCCACTGAACTGCGTAATCCTGAGAAGAAGACTCCTCTGCCTCCTAAAGCCATGCTGATGTCAGGCGACTCATGGGAACTCACTGGCACAGCTCTGGGCTCAGAGGCAGAAAGAGCCCACATTGTTTTTGGTTGTCACGGCCCATCCCCTAATCCTTCCTTGTAATAGCCCTAGCGGGTAGGGTAGATATTTCCCCCATTTTACAGAGGAGGAACCTAAAGTTCAGAAAGGTTAGGTCAATTTCTCACGGACACACAGCAAAGGAGTGGCAGGGCCAGGATTTGAAGCTGGTTAGGATGACTGCGCCTCCCCAGACTCCTGTGCATCCAAGCCATTCACAGTCAAGAATCCCCAGATGTTCAAGGCGAGCTTCCTGGGCCTTTGAACTTGGACTTTTTTTTATTGTCTTCCCCTCTTGGACTTACTCTATCTAAAAATTAGGGCTCTTCCCAGGGCTTTCTGGAGACCAGCTTTCATTTTCATCTTTGAGCAGCTGTGGAAAAGTAAAGACTCAACGCTTTAATTCTGGGGTCTTGGTAATTATCCAGTATTCACCGCCCACTCAACTCTACCCACTAGTTATTATAATAACAACAATAATAATTTAGAAAAGCAATGATGATGATCACAGCCTTCACTGATCCCCCATTGGAGGCTGGACACGATAGATACAGCCTCGCTAATTTTTAATTTCAAAATGGTCCTGAACTTAGGAGTCTGGAATGTTGGATTCTAGTCTTAATTTTGGCAAGGATGCCGCACATCGTATGGCTGAGCGAGCCCTTAAATCCCTCATGCCTTTATTTTCCCCTCAGTAAAAAGGGGGTAAATATCATGCAAGATAAGGTACTTTAAACTTCTTGAAAGAAAAGTCATAGAGAAATTTTAAAGCATCACCACCCCATATTTACTACTGAAAATGACCCAGCAGTCTGTTACCTTAATGATGCATTATCTTGATGCCCCAGTCTCCCCCTGCTCTCGCTGCCCAGCTCTCGGGAAGGGTGCTGAGTGGGGGCTGGGGCACAGGCTGATCTCTTCGTTGCAGTGGAAGTCTCACTTTTCCAGCCCTCACCCTCAACAGCTGCCTCTGCCAAGGCCCTGGAGCTAGAAAAAGCGAGGCCATTGCCCGAGTTCAATAAATGCTTTTATTAGTCCTTTTATTAATGATGGTGGGTATTTGTTGAGAAGCTGGGACAATAGTTATTCCAGTAAGAGGATATTAAGCTCCCGCTGACAAGTCCTGTATATCTAACATGCTCTGCCCACCCCCTCTACACAAGCTGCTTTATTACAATGCACCATACCCCTGGCCTCCTAGCAACCCCAAGAAGAGAGTGGAGGGGTGGGGTGGGTAAGGATAAGCTGGTGTCATTAAACACACAGGTCTTTTCAGAGGTTGCTGTAAGCCAATAGCAGGAAGCTTTTCCTTCCCTCCTGAGAGCTTAGGGAGCCTGTGTGATTTTTGTGTTCTTTTTTGGGGTGGTGGCGGGAGGAGCAGGGGAGGGAGGCTCTTGGCTATTTTACAGCCAGAGCTGCAGATGATGAGTTGATAAAGGAGGAAGACATTCTTGAACCATTTGTTAAATTTGAGACTATTTCCACTCTTTATTTTCAGCCATTTGACATTATTTTTAATTTATCAAACATTTACAGTACTTATATGCTGGCACTATTCTGGATGGTTTTCAAATACTAATTTATTTCATCTTCATAGCATCCCTATGAGGTAGATACTATAATTACCATTTCATGAATGAGGAAATTAAGGCCCAGAGAGGTTAAATGACTTGTCCAAGTTCACACAGCTAATAAGTGACAGCCAGGGTTGAACCCAGGCAATTGTCTCCAGAGCTTGTGATCTTTATCTGAAATTTTATCTTTTTAAAATATTTTATTTATTTATTTTTAGAGACAGGGGAAGGAGGGAGAAAGAGAGGGAAACATCAATGTGTAGTTGCCTCTCATATGCCCCCTACTGGGGACCTGCCTGGCAACCCAGGCATGTGCCCTGACTGGGAATTGAACCTGGGACCCTTTGGTTCACAGACCCACACTCAATCCACTGACCCACATCAGCCAGGGCTTTATCTGAAATTTTAAAACTGAGCCTAGAAAGAACTAGGAAATATTTCAAAAATTCAGCTGCTTTATTGCTGTATCAAGGGAATTCGACATTTTCATGTAGGGGGATACTATAATAAATTATTCTTCAGAATTATTCTGAGAGAATCCTTAAAGGTCATCTGATCTAATCCTATGATGAATACCAGAATTCTCTCAGCAGCATCCCTCCTATGTGCTCCCTCTAGCTTTTGCCTGGACTGTCCTAGTGACAGGGACCTCATTACCTCACCTGGCAGACCATGCTGTCTTTGCACAGGTCTCACTGTTGGAGAAGAAAGGCTGGATTGAAATTTAGCTCCCTGGAACTTATTCTCCCAGACCTACTTTTGTCCTCTAGAGTTGGTACGGGGCTTTGTTTCTTTTGCAGAGGATAGCCCTTGAAGTACTTGAAAACAGCTTTCATGTCCCCTTAAATCTTTTTTCCTCCTTGGGGTTAACTCCCTTAGTTCTTTCATGATCCTCGCTTGTTATAATTCCCAGATTCTCTGTCTTCCTGTTGCCACCCCTCTGATGCACGAGAGTTTGTCAGCACTTATCCTGGAGTGTTGTCAGGAGGAAACACGACACATTGGCGTGATCCAGCGGTGCTGAGAAGAACAGGATCATCACCTCCCTCACCTCCTTCTTTTGTGCTCTGTTTCCAACCATGCAGTCTAAACTCGCCTTAGGTTTTCTGAGAGTCACATTACACCCTTGACTCATACTGAGCTCGCAATCAACGTATAGCTCTTTTAGGTCCATCTTCCAAATTTGGAAATTATACAGCTGTGCTTTTTGTTCTTCTGAACCCAAGGGTGGGACTTCACATTTCCCACTAGTAAACTTCATCATGTCAAACTCAGTTTCTTGTTCCAACCCATCAAGGTTGACTTGGAACCTTACTCTTTTACTCTATTTAGTGATTTCCTAATTGATTTTGTGTCATCTGAAGTTTTGATAAATATGCTCTCCGTGTCCCCATTCAGGTTGTCATTAACTTTTTTTTCAAGCTGGACAGGAAATTTCCTGAGGTCGGGTTTGCGGAGGAAGATGAAGCAAAGCTGGGGTGACTCCACAGGGACGTTGTGTTTGGATCAACATGAATGACTAATGCAGTGCACTTTCTGGGGCTGTGAGTGGCTGGGCAACCAGGTAAAGACTTGTACAGCATCACTCCTGCGTCAGAGCCTGCGACCCATGACGAGGCAGGAAGGCAAATATTGATAGCTTGGTTCAAACATCTGATTGTTTCCTATACACCTCTGCAGACAAGTATGGAGAGTTGAAATGGAGGCTGTTATGAAATAGAAGCTAGGTCCACAAACAGGGCTCCCAGACCAGAAAGAGCCAGGTGATTGCTGTAAGCACTAAGATCTCCAGAAGTAATAAAGAAGACATTCTTGGAACAAAGACAGAGAGAAGGGGGAAGAGAGAGAGAGAGAATTTTGTTGCACTGCATGGAGTTTGAATAAATTTTTCTCAGCTCAAGTAACCATTCCTTTCTGTCATTCCTTAGAGGTGACACCTAAAAGCCAAAAGAATCAGACTGAGGCTACATTATTGAGGTTCACAGCAAGGGGTGTCTATTTTTGCCAGAGGGTCTTGGAAATCAATTTAATGTCCTAGTCTTGCTACTATTGGCCCTTTCAAGAATCCAGCCTGCTCCTGCCATGCACCACAGGAGTATACTTTTCACTTTCTTTCCAATATTCACCCAATCATGCTCCTCCTTGTCCACTTTGGCCCACTTTTTAAATTCTCTAGTTAGTTCCCACTCCTTCTTCCCCACATGCCCTCCCCGCCCCCACCAGGAGTCTGGCATGCGGCAGTGTCCCAGGCACCTGAGTTGGATGGAACTGCAGAGACTGAGGTAGATTTTGGTGCTCGGGGTGGGGGGTAGTTCTTGGTGGCTAAGACTATGGGATTTCCAAGACAGTCATAAGCAGAAATGGAACTGGGTTGTCAAGTCCAGGTAGAACAAGCCAGGAAGGCTGAAATGGGACAAGGCCTGAGGCCAGGCAGGAGCCAGTGTCGGGGGAAGAGCACAGCAGTGGACACTGAACTGGCGGGCAGACAGGCTTTTGATGTGGTTCCTGTAGCCCAGGGAGAAGCACACTTCTCGGGTTTAGGGAAGAACTTCCCAAGCTCTGTGACTCCCTGCTCCACACTCCAGCCCTGATACCCAGGAAGACTCCATCTAGTTCCCGTCTAGCCCCAATGTATGCGGACCCTGTATCAGTCTGTTGGGGCTGCTATAACAAAAATACATAGACTAGGTGGCTTAAGCAACAAATGTTTATTTCTCCCAGTTCTGGAGGCTAGGAAGTCCAAGATCAAAACACTAGCTGACTCAGTGTCTGGTGATGTCCCACTTCCTAGTTCATAGAAGGTAATCTCCTCACTGTGTCCTCCCGTGGCAGAAGGGGCGAGGGAGCCCTCTGGGGTCTCTTTTATGAGGGCACGAGTCTTACTCACGAGGGCTCCACCCTCATGATCAAATCACCTCCCAAAGGCCCTACCTCCTGAAACCATCATACTGAAGAGTAGGTTTCAGCATATGAATTTGGGGAGGAGGGGAGCACAACTAATCAGTGCATAAGAGCCATGCTTGGTCAGTTTGCTGACCTTGACATGCATGGCTACTTTCAACTTCGTAGGTACAACCATTCCTTCCACTCAAAGGGCCTGTCCCACTGGGCATCAGCTCATTGGAGCTCCACTAGGGAGACCAACCCACCTGGCCTCCCTGCTTGGCTGGGGCTGGGGGTGGGGCACCGTGCCCAGTTAGACCTGAGCTTAGACAGACAGGGGCAGCCAACCACAAAGGATAGAAACGACTCATCTGCACAGAGCCAACATTTCCAACAATTTGGTAAACAAAGACCCCTGTCCAGTGAAGTCATTAAAAAGAAGATAAAAGTAAATGGAATGTTTTTTAGTCATATACATTACAGGAACACACAGACACCTACAGTTTGCCTGAGTTAGTATTCCGCTTTACAATTTACCTTTCGGTCACATCAATCCAGTCTTTGGCAAACCACTGGCCTTATTTATTTATTATTATTATTTTCTATTACTAGCTAAATTCTTTTTTTCCTTTTTTATAAAAGATTTTATTTATTTTTAGAGAGAGGGGAAGGGGGCAGGAGAGAGAAACATCAATGTGTGGTTGCCTCTCACGTGCCCCCTACTGGGGACCTGGCTTGCAACCCAGGCATGTGTCCTGACTGGGAATCAAACTGGCGACCATTTGGTCTGCAGGCCAGCTCTCAATCCACTGAGGGCTGCTGGCCAAATTCTTATTTGCCTGTGATCTGATTCTTTCAGGTCTAGGCTTGTGGGCCTGCATTAATTTGCAAGGTTGAGTTATTTATGTTGTGTTATAATCTGGTCTATCAATTTCCTACACATTTTCCCCTCAAGATGAACACTAATTCAAAATGCATTAAAACCCTAAACTCAGGGAGGGGGAGGAAAGGGGGTGAAAAATGGGATTTGAGAACTGAAGGATTATCTCTTTGTATTCTGCCCCAGGGTCCTAGACCCCAAAGGTGGAAGAAAGCTGGCATTCCCACTCACTGCTCACAGCTCTCACCTCGAAAGAGAGGGAAATGGAAAGATAACACCGATAAAAACACCAGCTCCACCCGAATGACTCAAAGGAAGGTGCGCCTGAGAGTCGTGATGTTTTCCCGCAACTGCGAGGCCCGGACAGAAAATAGAACTGTCCAGCAGCCTGTCCTCGAGTGGGAGCTTCATAAATCTCCGGAAAGCCTCTGACCCTTTCTCTTTTCACTTTGGCTCTGTTTCCTTCTTTGCTGAGGGTCCCTATTTGTCAGAGCAGAAGGGAATTGCATCAGTCAGTCGTGAGTCAGACAAAACAAAAATAAGTGGACAGCCCTCCTTGAGAAGGAAAAAGTAATGGTGAGTTTTTTTTCTTTTAACTGTCCCCGACTTATTAGGCAGCACAAAGTATGTTCGAGGAAGGTGGCCAGGATTTCAGACACAGTGTGAAGGGGAACAGTTTGAGCACTGGGGGTTGGGTAGGAAAGCAAGGCTTTGGAATCAGCCTCATGGTTCTCCCTCTCCCCCTGCAGGTGAGAAGAGACACAGGGAGAGACGGAGCCCAGCAGGGTAGGGACAGCAGGTGTGAACGTGTGTGTGCGCGTGCGCGCGTGCACAGGAATGCCCACAGATGCACTGAATTAAGGAGTAAACAGAGAAAACCGTCCAGGATAAGAAAAGGTGATTGAAGTTGATCAAGAAACTACTCCGGGTAAGAATAATGACAGTAAGAACCATGTGCTACATGGTTCCATTTGCTATATGTTTACTGACTGCTGCTCTGGGCAGGGCATGTCCTGGGCTCTGAGGATTCAGCAAGAAACGAAACCAAGTTCTTGCCTTCAAGGAACTCATGCTCGTGTCGGACATGTGAGGCGAGGAACACAAGTTGCTACTGCATTTACAAACCACAGGAGGCGGTTTCTGTTCTCCCAAGCTACAAATGCGGAAATGGAGGCACAAAGAAGCTTTAAGAACTTGGCTGAGTCTCACACTAGAGCCAAGATTTGAACTCAGGTCTGTCTGAGTCCAGAGCCCCCGATTCTAAGCCCTGGAAGACGACACACTGCCCCCACTCTCGAGTTCCAAGCTGAAGCCCCACTGGCTCTGTCTTAGTTAGTACAACTCCTTGGCCATCTTTTTCTCCTTGAACCTCAGTCTATCCATCTGTGAAAAAAGGGGGGGTGTGATTGTTTGATCTCTGAAATCCCTTCCAGCTCCAGGGTTCTATTATTCTGGGGGGAAATTTTTATTGGTATTCTTCCCCCTTCCAAGTATGTCTTGTGGAGTTAAGCAGAAGCTCAGTAGACGTTCACACAGAGACAAACATCCAGAGTCCTGTTTCCCACACTGGGTTCCAAGGATTTCTTTCCAGGGATTTGGAATTTTCTATGAGAATTTATTTTTGCGAAACAGATTCCTTGAGGGTCCTCAGCTCCAGAGAGAAGCAGAGGAGGGCAAGAAAGGGGCAGGAGGGGGTGAAGAAGAAGAAGGTCTGCTGGGGGCTGAGACGCAGCTAGTCCAGGCCCAAGGCTCAGAGCCCGGGCGGGAGGTGTTGTTCAGGCTGCACCTAGAACTGGGTGAGCGTGTGGCTAGAATATTTGAAAGGGGAGGGGCCTGTTGCCAGTTGGTAACCTCCATGACTGAGCAAGGTGAGATGGGTCCCATCTCTTCACCTTAACCCCCTGACCTCACCTGGCCGGTCAACCGCTCCTAATGTGAGCTTTGTCGGACTGGAAAAGCGAGGTGGCAGCGGGAGCCTGGCCCGCCCGGTGGCTAAATGCAGCCCGGGTGCCCCTGATAAGCTTAGTCAACTTATTAAATTACACAGGAAAAATAGAGATGGAATATTAATTCCACACACTCTCCTCTCAGCCTGGGGAACCTGCCTTCCTGGGTTTCACTTTTCAAAGGCTGAAATAGATACGGAGATTTCACACTTAATTAAAGGAGAAGGGTGCTCACTTCAAGTCTTTTCAAAACCATTTTGGTTCTGAGCAGAGTGGAGCCAATGGAGACCCAGTCACCATCTGGCATGAAAGGTGTGAACTCGGAGTCTCCCTTCAGCTCTAGACATCAGATGCACAGACAAAGAGAATTAATTTCGGAGGCCCCCTTAGACGGCCCCTCCCGCTCCGGCTGTAAGTGGAGAGCCCGTGCATTGACTTGCTAGGTATTAAAAAGTGGGGTCTGAGGGGTCGCCTGCGACACAGAGCGCCAGGTGCCAGAGCTCACCCCGCAGGGCAGGTTATCTTATCATCCAGGCTGATAAAACTCGGGAAAGTCGGGCCATAAGGAACAAATATTTATAAGCCCAACACCTTTCTGTCCCTGACAGATTAGGCACAGAATGTAAGCAGGAGCAGAGGGGTGAGTTACAATCAACCTTGGTCTTTGGAGCCTGGTTTTTGATCAGAATCTTCCTAAGCTCTTCCAGTCTTGATGCGAAGGATTCAATGGCGAGTGCTCAACTGTTTAGGAGATGCTTTGACATCTATCACCTCACATGACCCTGCTGACAGCCTGGTGAGGACTGAGCCATTATTACCCCATTTTACAGTTGGGGAGACTGAAGTGCAGACAGGTTAAGTGCCCTTTCACACAGTTAGCCAGCAGGACTTGAATGCAAGTTTACTGACTGCAGAACCTATGTGCTTTCCACATGCCAATAGTGGCTTGGAGTGGTTCTCTGCTCACTCAGCTCTCCTTGGAATTAGCAGCTCCCCAGGAAGCCCCCCTGTGTTGCCCGCAGTGTCCTAGTCACAGGCCCTGCCCCCTGGCAGATGAGGCCAACCAGCATCAAGAAAGGGTAAAGGAGACAGTGACCCCAATGGAGATGGCCATGGGGTGCTCTAAGATAGCCCTTACCCCAAAATACATCCCTAAGGTTTCTACTGGGACTTGAAATTCATTCCTTTGGGTCCTCAATTTTTTTCTGTTTATCCATTCTTCTGGGAAGAGGTTATTAAAAGGTTAAACACAAATGTGTTAGAATGAGAGGCTCACCCTGGCTGGTGTGGCTCAGTGGATTGAGACTTGCCCTGTGACCCAAAATGTTGCCAGTTTAGTCCCCCGTCAGGGCACATGCCTGGGTTGCAGGCAAGATGCCCAGTTGGGGTGTGTGTGAGAGGCAACTGACTGATGTATCTCTTGCACATCGATGTTTCTCTCCTTCTCTTTCTCCCTCCCTTCCCCTCTCTCTAAAAATAAATACATAAAATATTTAGAAAAGAAAAGAATGAGAGGCTCTTGGTGTCAGTGGAGGGGTCACTGATTTCCTTTTGTGCCCAGGGAGAGGGTGCGGGGTGAACACTGGAGAAAGGGCCCTCCCTCTGGGGGCCTGGGTTTCTCCTCTGCCAAAGGTGCAGTCTAAGTAGATGGTCTTAAAGATCCTTACTGCTTGGCTCTCTCGGGCCAAATCTCCTGGGACGAGGAGTGCCTTAAGCCTTTCTCTTTCAGTCCTTAGCCATGAGAGTAGGAATGTTCTAGAGAAAGCAACTTGTAAGCTCAGAGGAGAGCAGCGAGTAGCCGGGGTCGGGAAGCAGCTGGTGCAGGAGGCTGGAGGTGAGCAAGCAGCCTGGAGCTAGGTGACAGAAGGCCGAGAGATGAGAGTCACAATATAAACAGGAACCAGATCACAAAAAGCCTTGTAAAACCAAGTCTTGGAGCTTGGGCTTTATCCCAGGAGCAACAGGGAGTCAGAAAGGATTTAAAGCAAGTAAGTGGCATGACAATATTTGTGTTTTAGAATGTTCCCTCTGGTGCGAATGTGGAGAGAAAAATGGAGGGATGGGGACAGGAGAAAGCAATGGGATGGGAAAGGCAGTGGAAGAAAGACACCGAGTGGACTTATGTATTTACTTCCCCCCTCGTCCTCTGACCTCGGCCAGCCTGGTTATGATAGCTGTATTTGTAAGAGTAACAATAATGGCTACCATTTATAGATGCTTCCTCTGTGCCAGGCGCTGTGTAGAGTGGTGTGCATACTTTGTTTCATTTAAGCCACATAATAACCCTGTGAGGTAGGAACTGATACCACCCATAGTTTACAGATAAGAAAACTAGGCTCACAGAGGGTCAGTGTCTTGCCTTAGGTCGCATCGCTGGTCCGTGGTAGCACCAGGACACAGGCGGAGGTGGGCTCATCCCAGCGCTCCTGCTTGTAACTAGCAGGTGCCCTGCCTCCTGAGATGGCTGGCACCGCACAGTGAGTGTGCACTCCCCCATGGCAGGACGGGGCCCTCCTGGCCAGCCTCCCACGGCAGAGGAGGGTGAGAGCAGGCACAGCTGGCACAAACTTGACTTGCTGTGGGTGCTCTGCAAACAACCTGCAGGCTGGTCTGGAGAGGGTGTGAGGTCTTTGGGAGGTTTAGGCTCATGGCTAGTTCTCCTTTGTGTCAGAGGGGAAATGGAGCTGGGTCTGAGGCAGGCTCTGGACCCTGCTCTTCATCCCTCCTCTCACATGTAGGGGCCTCTCAGAAGCTCTGGGGCTTCAGGAGCCACTTCTCAATCCAGAGGGGAGCCAAGAAGTCACACTCCCCAGAGGCTGGAGAACACAGAGCGAGAATGGCCACTAGCTCTCAACATGGTGCCTTTTTCTAAAGGGGGAGCAGGTCCCAGGGCTGGGGCAGGGAGGGCCGGAGGGCATGCCAAGGTGGTTAGGGCAGGGGCCGTGCTCCCAAAGGGGAGAAGAAGGCAGGTTGTCATCTCTGCTCCCCCAAAGTCACCAGAGACCCTCAAGGGGGAGCAGTGAAATTCACCCACCGGTAAGGAGTGATCAAGAGCACGGAGATTGCTTTGCCGACAGCTGAAATGCAGGCCTCTGATCCGGATCCTACCGTGGAGGGCTCGGTCACCTGGGAAAAGTCCTTCCCCTGCTCCCTGTACCTCAGTTTCCCCACTGGATGAAGTAAACACTGCACTGGAGTCTCCAGGGCCTGGATGAGACTGTGGTCCAGGCTGGCTAGTCACAGCCCTTTCCAGCCATCGGGGCCACTCTGGAACCAGGCTGGTCAGAAGCCTGCCCCTTGGGCCTCCTCCAGCCTGAGGTGGAAGGGCTCCACGCCAGCACCATGTTCCCGCCCCACTCTCCACCTCCACCCAGTAAGGACATTAGCCATCTGGGGCTGCTCTGTCAGTTGGAAGATAGGTCTAGCTTACACCTGCAGCAGGGAACACTGATTAACTTATTTTGCATCATTTTGCATTACCTGGCTCCAGGGCCTTCAGCTTGACATGCAGATTTACGTAAAAGAGACCTGACATGCAAATGAGCCAGGCCTACCACTTGTTTTAGTAACGGGGAGCGGGGAGCGCTAGTTGCATCGCTGGTTCCTCCAGCCCAGCTCTTCTTCCCACACCCCACTGGTTCTCACCACAGAGCGGTCTGTCACCCTGCGCTGCCTCTGCTCTTCCCTGAGCCGAGGCCGGGCAAGAAGTCAACCAGACTGCCAGGTCAGAAGGAAGAAGGAGGCTGGAAGCGATGCTTCCCCAGGGAGTTTCGGGCTGAGTTGCTTGTGAGAATCAGAGACAATGGAGAGATGGACAAACACACAACAAAACACGGAGAGAGAGAGGCAGATTCAGAGGGGCCGGGAGACCGGGCTGCACACAAAACAAGCACAGACAGAAAGGGCCAGGCGAATGGACAAAGAGCAGATAGAGACGGCACAGAGTCCGAGAGGGTGAAAAGCAAAGAGAAGCAGAGATGAG